GATACATTGATACATTGATACATTGATACATTGATACATTGATACATTGATACATGGACACATAGATACATAGATATACCACATCTTCAGGAATATCTTTTCCTTTACAGGGTTCAGGGTTCAGGGAATCTCGTAGTCGAGCATCCTCGACTGGAGATTTCTTATTTGTTTTATTTGGTTTCCATTTCTATATCTATGCAATAAAAGCTTTATTAAAGGACTGCTGACTGTCGACATTTTGCGGGTGTTTCCCCTTTAGCTGGCAACAGAAGTTCGCCAATCCAGTGGAGCTGGGGCAACTGTTTGGGCGCTGAACGTTGCCCATTGCAAATATCCAATTGGAATTGCATTGAACTACTAAATTGAAAACTGAAAAGCATATTTCACTTATCACTTTTCACACAAAACAAGCTCGGAAACAAAGCCAGGGGACGGGCAGAGGGTGAGACTGAAATGAAATTGTTAAAAGTAAAACACTGCAACAACAACAGACACAACAACGGCAACAACAGCAACAACAACAACGACGACGACGACGACGAGGACGACGACAACATTCTGGCTGACCGACTGACTGGCTGGCTGCCCAGCCAATACAATAATACTGTTTGCATTCGAATGTGTGTGTGTGTTTGGGGTGTTAGCCGATCAATGGATAGGTGAAAATGGTTTCTCTGAGTGAAGCGGCGTATTGTTGTTTTAATTAAAAACCAAGCCAGCACTATTTCCTCGATAAAAACGAAAAAAAAAACAGAAAAAAAAAAATGGAAGGCAATGAAAACGAAATCAAAGTGAGCAAAGCTGACCGGTGGGATAGATGGAATGAAAACTGTTGAATATTTAGTGCATGCTGGAAAAGTTATGGGGAAAAAGTGAAAATTATTGAGCACAAAAATGTGCAAGTGCAGACAGACACTGAGAGTGCCAGAAATGTTAACCAGTTCTTGTGCGTGTGTGTGTGTGTGTATGAATATCTATGTGTGCCTCTGTGTGTGTGTGTTTGTAATCGTAACCCAAATGCTGTGGTTTTTCCATTGGGCACACAGACAGACAGCGTGTGAGCAGAAGTTGGCACAAAGCCGCACCTAATGGCAATTTAAATGAAACAAACAGCAAATGAAAATGAAAATGAAAACGAAAATGAGAATGAGAAACAGGAACAGAAATCAACGAAAAATTGCTAGCAAACAGAACAAAATGAAGGCAGTGTTGTTGTTGCACTTTGTTGACCGCAAATGCAATTTACAGCACAACAATCAGCGGCAAACGCACAGCGCCGCAGCCTCACCAAAGAAGAAAGTAATAAAAAGGAAAAAAGGGTGGGCGGAACAAAAAAGCAAAACTTTGGCCGCTGTGTGGCAGTTGTTGTTCAGTTGTTGTTTCAAAATCAACAACTATTTTGCCATCGGCAGTAAAAAGCAGCACATCCAGCAACTGCATTAACTGGCCAGGCGGGCAGCGGCCCAGAGAGTGGCCGAGTTTTGTTCACTTGGTTCCGGCTAGCTCCGCTGCTGGTTCACAAATTGTGTTGACTGCTATTGCAATAGCAGCATCATAGTTTTGGCTACACTCACACACACACACACACACAATTAGAAGCAACGGCAGCGTAGCGGGGGTTAGCTTTGATTGGGAGGGCTGAGCGGGATTTTGGGTTTGTGTTTGAAATTCAATTTGGCGCTATGTGTATGTGTGTGTGTGTGTGTGTGTGAGCTCTGCTTTTAGCAGCTAACCCCATTATTTGCTGGCCTCATCCATATTTTAGTGCAGCTCGTATTTTCAAAATAAATGCGAGATTATTCGATTTTCGGCTTGTTATGATAAATGCATTCAAATGCAGACTAAGGCAGGCGAAACAGTCGACTTTGCCTCCGGTGCACTCATAAATATTTATGATGCATTTTGCATGCGAGAATATGTCTGCAGTTGCGCATCGCTCTTCCTCTCTGGTTGGCCGTCATGATTGAATTGGCCATTTCCCCCGTGGCTGTTTGTCTATTATACCATTGTGCCACTACCTGAACCCGAGCAGAGAGTGTCAGGCCAACTGAGGGCAGGAAATAAATGAGCCAATTCTGCTCGACTTGTCATTCCACACGGCAAAGCAGCGCCGCTCTTCCCATCGATGCGCACCATTAATGAATAATGAGCGTCGGAGCTAAATAAAAGTGAATTTGAACTAGACTTTCTTTTCCTATTTTTGATTTGGCAGCAAGTGCGACTTAAAGATGCCCTGACTTGAGTGAAATATATTGTTAATAGGTTAGTTGTTAATTTTTATAAAATAATATTAATACGTTTTATATTCTAAAATTAGTTGTATCATATATTATTAAGTCGAAACATAATTATATAAAATATAAGAATAATAATTTAAATTTAATTTAAATAAACAGACGAATGTAATGATGAATATATTCATATATGTATATTTATATTTTCAAAAAATGCTAATCCTAAGCCTTTTGACAGGTTTTATAAATATTTAATGAGAAAATCCATTTGCTAGTTTTATTAAAATGTTCTGCTAAAAACAACGAATATTTTGCTTTTAGTAAATAGTAAATATTATTTTCTATTGCTGAGCTTCAGTGGGTTAGATATGAGCTTAGTTGACAAGCAGATTAAGCATATTACACATTTATCTATAATTTTCATTGCTCTGTATTGCATTAGCTAATCAACGTATCTGATTTGAATAATCAATGCCAACCAGCCAGCATAACCCGTATCTTGATACAGCAGATGAGTCAGTCAATTATGTAGGTTTTTCCATGCTGTTTATTGTTCTCTGAATTGAGCGAATTCTATTCATTGTTGTTCGATGCACTGAAACCGCTAATCTTATCAATTAGTGACGCAAACTTTGTCGGATCGATTCAATTTCGATTGCCAATGCATTTGCAAAGATAAAATTTTTCACTGGAAATGCACAATTAATCGAGCAGACCGACCACCCCTCCTAATGCCTTTGTTTGTAGATATAGATAATTTCTATGTATCGGAATTATGTCAATTTTATGCACTGTTGGCGATTCGAGACGGGATTCATGCATATGTATATCGCATAAATATATAAAAATGTACTTAACGATATAGAGTAAGGGAAAATAATAGAGTAGATAGAAAAAAAAAGAATAAATACTAAATAAATAAAAAATATAAAAAAATAAAAAAGAAATAAATAATAATAATAATTAGGTTAATAATAAATAGATGCTAAATAAATAAAAATAATAATTAAATTTTTAAATAATAATAATAATAAATAGATTATTAAAAAACAGATACTAAATAAATAAAAATAAATAAATAAATAAATGTAATAAATGTTAAAAAATATATTAAAAATAAGTAAATGCTAAATAAACCGAATAAAACAAAAAATAAATCAATTTACATAATTTATGTAAATATTTATAAGTATTATAAATAAAAAATAAATAAATTTATATTAAGAAATTCATTAATGAAAGAGTAAATATTTATACCTATATCTGCTTTAATATTCTTACATGAAAACAGTAAACCGAAACTCAGCTTCAATCTTTACATATACGTATTTTAATATATATGAATTTTAATATATACGTACTTTAATATATATATATTTGACATACTCGCTGTCAGCGTATACCCGGTCGGTAGCTTATTAAATATGAAGACCGAGGACTTTACTTGGCTGCTCATCAATATCGCAAACAGAGTTCCGGCCGGCTGCTGAGATTGCGATGCCGAATGCGATTGGCTGTGGCCGATAATGCCGCACGTAGCGGCAATTCAGTAAATGATGATGCAATGACTGCCGCAGTTGGCTTTTTGGCCGGGGCACAGCGACGACAGTGGCACGTTCCAGATGGCAGAGGGCAGCCAGCAGAGGTTAGCCAGCAGAGGGCAGAGGGCAGAGGGCAGACGGCAGTCAATCGTCTGCAGCATCTCGTTGCGGCTGCTTTAGCGGGACTCGTAAGTCATTTAACATTTTGAGGTATATTTAATGAGCCAAAAACTTTTTGCCGCACATAAATTAAAACTCAGCTCGACTGCGAGCGACCAGGGGCAGGTGTTGGCTGACCAATCCACGGGCTGACCGGCCACTCGACAAGCCAAT